CCCCAGCAGCCCAACCATGGGCGCCCCTTTGGACTCAACTTGAGCATAGAGCCCTCTCTCTCTGTCTCTGTCTCTTCCCCTCTCCATTTTCTCCCTTTTCCCCTTCCTCCTCTTCCCCCTTTCTTCCCGTTTCCCTCCCTTCTTTTTCTTTCATCTTTCCTTCTCTCCTTTCTCTTGTCTCTCTCCTTCCCCCTTTTCTCCTCTCTCTGTCTCTCTGTCTCCCTCCCATTCCTCTCGTCCTCTCCCCTCTCCCTGTCTTCTCTTTCTTCTCTCTTTCTCCTCTTTGTTTTAACCCTCCTCTCTTCCTCTCCCTCCTCTCTGTAAATTTCTACGGAAACTAAATCCAAACTCTCACCTCTAGGCAATGAATAACATTCACAGCTTGCTGCACCTTTAACCACCGCTTCTTCAGACCCACCATATCCCACGTAATATCTTTGACATGTAAGATTCTAATATTCTATACTTTTCTATTAAAAAATGTGAGCTGTGAGCTCCTTTGAACTAGGAAACAAATTGCATTTTTTTCCTTAAGTTACATGGTTTCTTCTCCAATTTGTTTAGTGATACTTGAGTTTTGTTTTTTTAGTGTGTGTGTGTAATAAAATCATGTCAACTGAGCTTTCACTAAATGCCAAGCACTTTACACAAATTCTCTTTTAGTTCTCATAAACACTCCCGAGGCAGATATTGTCTTTTGGTTTGTTTTTCACAGAATCTAAACCGGTGAGTCAGAGAGATTCAGAATCAAGATCACATATTAAAAGGCAACCAGGGCAGGGCTGTTTCTCAGCGTGGGCGTGACCTTGAATGTATGAATCTCTGGGTTCATATCTAGCCCCACCCTGCCAAACTCCCCGCAAAGAGCTAAATGTAGGTACAGTGATTTAAAGAGAGTTGTGTTACACTGCTTTCCTGCAGTACATTGCTTCTGTGTCCTTTTATGACTGGTGAGTTTATGGTGAATCTGAGGCACGTTTATTTTTTTTTTAATTTTTATTAGTGAAACACCATGAGGTACAGTTGTAGACTTACGAATTTTTGTGCTTGGGTTTCAGTTATACAATGATCAAGTACCCATCCCTCCACCAGCGCCCATCCTCCACCACCATGGGTCCCAGTATCCCTCCAATCCCCATCCCCCCCCATCCTCTCCTTGCCTCTGTGGCAGGGCATTCACTTTTATTCTCTCTCTCCTTTTGGGCACTGTGATTTGCAATAGAGGCATTGAGTGGCAATCATATTCAGTCTGTAGTCTACTTTCAGCATGCATCTCCCATCCCCCGAGGATCCTCCCAGCACCCTTTATGTGGCACGTTTATGGTTAGTCTGAGACCAAGCAAAAGGTCCCAGTTCAGAGTCACTGTGTTTAGCTCACTGAGAGAAGCGAGGCACTTTACTCCCTGAAGCAGAAATCCAAAGTGACGCTGTAAAAACCCAACAACCTGAAACTTGATAAATCAAGTCTAAAGTAACGGAGGGCGCCGGGGTAGGTGGTTCCCAACTCCTCGCGACCACGCCCCTAGCTGCGGGCCACGCCCCCACCACACGCCAGCTCTGTGCTCCGCCCCCTAGGAGACGGCAGCCAATCGGAGAGCCGAAATCTTGTCCCGTGCGCCGCCCCGCCTTCCTGCCGGTCCCCCTCTCGCCGGCAGTGACGTGCCCCGCCCCGCAGCCGCGGGATTCAAACTCCCGGAAGCGGCAGCCGCGCCGGAGGGTGTGACCCGAGGAAGCCGAGCGTCCGCTCCGCCTCGGGTGCTGTCCGGTTGCTGGAAGGCGCTTGGGAAAGGTGGCGAGAGGCGGCCGGGACCCGCAGCCCCGGGGCAGGGCCGGACCGCCGCGGAGGCGGGGTGGGCGGGCAGATCGCCTCGGCCGGACCCAGCGTCCGCCCGCCCGGTCACCTGCTCCCCTGGCTCCGGGCCGGGCGCCCCCCGGATCCCGGCCCTCAGCCTCGAGGTGGGTCTCACCCGGCACCCCCGACACGGGGCTGCGCCGAGGTCCGCTTGATAGTGCAGCGTTTTGCAGAATCAGCACGTGCTTTCGTGTGTTTTTGAGGTGAGAAAAGGAACCCCCCCCCCTTCACCCCCCCCCCCCGAACGCCCCCAGCCCTGCGCCGTCCCACCCGGCCCCGCCTGGGGCTCTGTGAGATCCGAACTCCCCCGGGCACCAGGTGGCCTGGAAGGGGTACCCCGGTGCAGGTGACCGCGGGATCGCCTCCAGCAGAAAGTGTTCCCCAAAGTAACGGGTGTTGTTTGTCTTTTAAATCGGGAGAGCTGGGGGGTGGGGGTGGGGCACCAGGCGAGCTGCAGGCTGTGCCCGGGTCCGGATGACTCGGTTGGCCCCCGCAGAGGGAGGGCTTCCTTGGGCAACCGAGTGGACGCAGGCACCCTGGCCTGTCTGGAGGAGGAAACACCGCGGAGGAGGTGGGCAGGACCCCGGAACGGGGAGGCGCTGGGCGAGGCCAGCCGGCCCCCTCCACGCTGGAGCTAAAAAGCAGACGTCCGGCCTGCTCCTTGCAGGGCTCCCGGGCAGCTGCGCAGAGAGGTCCTCGGCCCTGCCTCCCCCGAAACCTGAGTTTCACCTCTCTGTTGTCTCAGCCACCTTGGCTGAAAAGTAGTTTCCCAGCGGCCGTTTTATCGCTGGTGTGCAAACAGGAAGGAACCCTGGCTTTGCCTCAAATGATTTGCTTAGTTATCTTAAGCTTTCGGCTTGATTGGGCAGAAGTTCAGGATTTCCTTTTTTTTTTTTTTTTTCCTTGCTCGATGTTCATTTAAATCACAGGGCACAGTTGCCAGGTTCTCTCCTTTATTAGGGATGACCCTAAAAGCCACTTTCATAGAGCACCCCCCCCAACACACACACACATATACACTTATCCAGGTAGGCTTCCCCAATTTTTACTGCTGTGGCTTATCACTGAACCTTCCATGTTCTGAAAGGCATTTATCTAACAATCTAAGAATCTTTATTTCCTTGTTATCACCTGCTTCCTTTTCTCTCTTGACAGTTCCTTGATGTAAGAAAGCCTTCCCCTCCTCCCGCTCCTGTCTTCATCCAGCTGCCTGGAAAGCAGTCGGTGCCAGTACTTTCTTGAATGCAGGAATAGTCTTATTTTCCTAGATTCCATAAGGATCTGAAGATAAAGATCCTTAAGGGTACTTGGGCTTCCTAATTAAAACTTCGTGTAATATTACCTGCAGTATGTTTTATTATTTTCCTCTTAGAGATTTTATTTTTGGTTTTGGGGCCACACCTGGTGGTTTCCAGAGTTTACTTCTTGCTCTACTCAGGGATCACTCCTGGCAAGGCCCAGGGACCATTATGGGGTGCTGGAGATCCAACCTGCGACTGCATTGTGTAAGGCAAGTGCCTTACCTGCTGTACCATTGCTCTGCCTAGAATTTACATGTACACTTGCTACTGAACTGCCATGTACTTAGTGTAAATGACACTAAGTCTCCTAATTTTCTGTTTCTTTTTGCTTAATTAGGCCTGTTATGCTCAATTCCTTTCATTCCTGACTCTCCAACGGTCTCATTTGGGTTCTCATTGCTACCTTTTTAAATAATAACTCTTTGGGGAGATCTAAATTATGCCTCACTTATAAAACAGAAGATATACTATTATGTTAATGTCTTTCTGCCCAGTTATTATTGGGTAGAAAGATATCATATTATTTACAACTACCTTTTTATTCCTGAGTTAAAACATGTCTTTGATTGGTAATTTACTCTTTTCATGTTTTATTTAATGGTTTAATAATTGGTCACCTCATTTTATTCTTTTTCTTTTTAAAAAATTTATTTTTATGGCACAGCGGTAGGGTGTTTGCCTTGCACGCAGCCAACATGGCCGACCCGAGTTCGATTCCTCCGCCCCTCTCGGAGAGCCCGGCAAGCTACCGAGAGTATCTCGCCCGCACGGCAGAGCCTGGCAAGCTCCCCGTGACGTATTCGATATGCCAGACACAGTAACAACAAAGTCTCCAATGGAGACGTTACAGGGCCCGCTCGAGCAAATCGACGATCAACGGGAGGGCCTTTACCTTTTATATCTTGGTGAGGTCCGTCCCTAGATGGTGGAGTCTGTGAGCAAGGTGGCTATTTTGGATTGTGGAAGGAAGTGGCTACCAAGGACTCAGCTTGGGCAGACACCAGGCTGACCCTCCTGCCTTTGATTTACCCTGGTCCGTTCAGCCATGTGTGAGTCTGAGAGTAACTGCGGTTTTCGATCTCTTTCGAGATTTATTTATGGGTCTCTTGAAACAAGGCTGATAAAAGAGTTTGTATAGTGAGCTGGAAATATTCTGTGAGTGTGGCTCCCACATACCTAACTTTTGACTGTTTAGTTTCTCAGGAAACTTGGTCCCTCATTGTTGGGGTCCAGCTGGAGGCACAGTGGCAATTTTGGGGTACCAGGAAACCCGAAGGCACCATCAGACCAATGATGTACTCTCCCGGTGGGTACAAGTTGACCTGCTGGCTGCACTGTACCCCTGTCACTCCTTTTTTTTTTTAAGAAGACTCTCCTATTGAAATGTAAACTTGAACAAACTGTCAACAAGTTCCAGGGGTCTGTGTTTGATTTTGAGCCACACCTGGCTCTGCTCAGAGCTTACTCCTGGCTCTGCTTTTAGGGATCACTTCTGGAGGGACTTGGGGAATCAGATGGTTATGCTGGGGATCGAACCATGTCAGCTGTGTGCAAGGCAAGTGCCTTACCTGCTGTACTTGCACTAGCCCAAGCTAACATTTTAAGGTGTGAAAATCCCCCATATACTACCCAGATTTAAAAACATACTGTGATCTACAGCCCAGCAACCTTCTCGAGTCTTTCTCCCATATCCCACCGGTGTGGCTATTATTTCTGTTCGGTGATACGAGTCTTCCTATTTTGCAGGTAGGTGATAAGAACTTTTGAAACTTGATGTTTGACTTTTAAAATGCATACTATAGTATAGAATTATTTTTTTCTCCCAATTTCTATAGGAAATTTCAGAGATGTCTTCCAGAAGTCCCAAATATTTAATTAAAGGTAAATGGGGATCAAAGTCTAATAACTCCAGATCTGAAACAACACTAGAAACATTTAGGGGAGAAATTACATCCTTAAAAACATCGGTAGATGAAATCACAAATGGAAAAGAAAAACCAATGGAGAAAGAGAGACACAGATTTTTGGAGGTAAATGGCATTATAAATTTTTTAAATTATAATAAGCTTACTTTGGAGATGAGAAGGTATTATTTGAATTATTATTTTGTTTGCATGTTAGTTCACTGTGTAAAAAAAAAATTGCTTTTTAAGCCAGCAGATGGAATTTAGATTTTAATGTGATGGCTTAACTCCAGTTTATGTATTTTGACTGCTTTCCAGATAATCTGATTTCAATTCCTTTTGAGGTCAAGTCATGTATATTGGAATTTTCTATTAGGTCAAACTGTAGTTTAGAATACCTTCTTATAATTTGTAACGACATTTTCAATAAATAATTTAGGAATTTATTAGAAGTCAAAGGGCCTACAAATTTGATCACTCGAAGCCAGAAAGATAATGCTATAGGTAAAGTGCTTATCTTACACATGGCCAGTCTGTATTCTATCCCTAGCACTACATTTGGTCTTCTGAATACTACCAGGACTGGCCCTGAGAACAGAGCCAGGAGTAAGCCTCACTGAAATTTGAACATTGCAAATAAAAATAAAACGTATTGGGTAAGGCATTTGCCTTGCACGTGGCCGACCTGGGATTGATTGCTCCATCCCTCTTGGAGAGCCCAGCAGGCTACCAAGAGTATCCTGCCACCGTGGCAGAACCTGACAACCTACCTGTGGTGTATTCAATATACCAAAAACAGTAACAACAAGTCTCACAGTGGAGACGTTACTGGTACCCACTTGAGCAAATCGATAAACAACGGGAGGACAGTGCAGACAGTGCATTCTTCTTGATCATGATTATTTAATGTTATACACAATTCTTACTGGCTTGGTGCTTCGAGTCTGACAAGGTTCTGTGAACAGTGTGGTGCCAGAGGTCAAACCCAGGGCTCCACATGGAAAACATGAGCTTCAGCTCCTTGAACTGTCTTCTTAGCCCCAAGGTTTTCATTTTGTTGGCATGTAAAGTCACTTTGTGAAGTTGTTCTCTCATCCTTCTGTTGGTGCTTGCTTCCTTAGGCCAGCAGCAGTTTTAACAAACAGACCTTCTTTTCCTTTTGTATTCTTTTCCCCTTTTCATCTTCTTTATCTTTCAAATTGTTGAAAATGTTGAACACTACTTGATGATCACCTTCTAGATTTGACCAGATATTCCGATACAAAAAGCAAGTTAGTGAGTGCACTTTATCCAGCAATATAATTCTTGCTTCAGGTTATAAAGCATTTAGCATGAGCGTATAACGTTTAGCATGTAGCATTTCTATAACTCACTTTTGGGCTTTCAGATTAGCAGTAATGATGTGATGGAGATCATTATCTATCTATTATCTATGTGAGATGCAACTTTTCTTTAGCTTTTCTCATTATTGCAGACAGAGTTGATTTCTCTATCCTGGGTCTGTGTCTTATTTATTTTAGATTTCTTAACCCCCACAGCACTACCGCTTCGCAGTGTTATATTCGATTACCTCTCTGAGCTCTCTGAACATTAAGATCTTGACTTCATGGTTCTTTTGGTCTAGTAAAATGTAGCATAATAAACAGTTCATACATGCTGGTTGTAGTATATTGTTTACTTTCATATTTGACCTGGCTTTGTTCTAAGATTCTTCTTAGTTTATATCTAGAAAATTCGAGTCCTCGAAGCTGAGAGGGAGAAGAATGTTTTTCATCTCGCAGAGAAGGACAAAGAAATACAGCGACTCAGAGATCAGGTTAAGGCCAAGTATAGCTCTACTGCATTGCTGGAGCAGCTGGAAGAGAAAACAAAGGAAGGCGAAAGGAGGGAACAACTGTTGAATTCCTTGTCTGAAGAGACAGATGTACTGAAAAAACAGTTGTCTGCTACGACGGCAAAACTTGCTGAATTTGAAAGCAAAGCCAGCACGCTTCATTTATCACAGGTACTGATAAGTTCAGTAAACCCAGATTTTTTTCTAATATAATTTGCAGTTCTTTGGAAGAATGAGTTTATTAAAACATGCGCACCAAATTAATTAAACAGTTTAGTTCAGTATACCCACCCTTTTACTTATAGTCCAGTATCCTCTTCATAAGCAAAAATAGTTCACCTAACTTCCTCCACTGTTTTTCCCAGGGGAGATTCAGAACAGAGTCCATATGTAGCCACAAAAACCAAGAAGACTTTATTAGCTTTTATTTCTATAGTTTGTCATAAAAACAGTAAGCTTCATTTTGTGTAATTTTTCATATTTTATACATAATCATAATAACAAGTATATACTTATGACTATACTTCCCTCCCCCTTTTTAAATTTTAGTCACTAATTTAACAAGAGCAAGGATTTGTAAGTAGGGCAGATCTGAGTTCAAATCTTGGTTCTGCTACTTACTAGTTATATAAATAAAATCCTTAACTTTTCTAATCTTAAAAAACTATACTAGACTTTGCCAGACTTCTCTCCTAAACGTGTTTTCACATTGATAAAATTACTTGAGAATAAATGTGATGCTACATGTAAATTGCCTAGTATAGTGCCTTGTTTATTCATCGGTACTCAATATGTCATTTCTTAGCGATCAGGTCTTTGATTCTTTTGGAAATACAAAGATTTGAAAAATACCAACATCACGGTTATTAATACGACCTATGGTAGAGAATCTGTAGATTTTCAGATATACCTTGGTAACCATTAAGATTTATCTTTGTGCCTTATTTCCCTTGTAGGGTAGACACGATGATGATCAGAGCTGTATATATTTGCATGTCCTTTACTAAATGGAGTATTGAATGTTTCTACAGACGAATTCTTATAATTTTGTGGTCCTCTACTATCAATTTCTGTATCAGTCAGCGTGACAAATCGCTATACTGAAAAACCTCTGAATCTTCAATGCATTTCTTTTCCCTCATGTCCAGATTGAAGGAGGCTATATTTCAGAGTGATTTAGAGATCCTGGTTCCTCTCCTAGTGTCTGTGCCCTCCCTTGGGATAGAGATGGAACCCTTCGCCAGGGTCTCTGTCTACAGCAGCGAGCTTGAGAACTCATGTGGAGAGCTGGAGGGTTTAGGAACCAGCCTGGCTCTTGCCCTTCTGCTTCCAGAACATTAGACATAATTCAGTCTGCTGGCCCCGCTAACCCCAGAGAAAGCTGGGAAATGTAGTCTTACAGTATGCTCATAGAGAAGGGTTGGTCATAGTGTCCATCTAGAAGACTGATTAGAGAAAAATAATTACATTTCTAGACAGGTAAATGTCTAGAGTGCCTGCTTTGGAGAAAAAAATTTTTCCTTCCTTGCCAGCATTTGCTAGTCTCTCTACTTATACCTGTTAAAATACTCTAGTATGATTTTTTTATGAGTTTTGTTGACCAGCCTGGACACCTGACCAGCTACTTTCCCTTTTTTTTTTTTTTAAACAAATTACAATTTAGTATTTCCCCAGGTTTTGCTTAAATAGTCCAGTTTGTTCTGTCTTTTGGTAAAAACCTCTGGGCTATTTATTTTCACTAAGGACTTTTCTGGTGCTCCTGGGATCCAGAGGACCTCAGATAGATCTTGGGTCTAATATCAAATTAGATAAAAAATCTGAGGGTTTCAGATCTACTTAGGAAGCATCTGATAGAGATTAATTCCCCATTGATGGCTGTCACCTGGCTTGATTGCTCACCAACATGAGCCAGACCTGGATTTGGGGTTGATTCTATGAAGTATAATGTATTATTATGGAACTAAATATGTCACTGTCACTGTCCTCCCATTGTTCATCGATTTGCTCGAGCGGGCCCAGTAACATCTCCATTGGAGACTTTGTTGTTACTGTGTTTGGCATATCGAATACGTCACGGGGAGCTTGCCAGGCTCTGCCGTGCAGGTGAGATACTCTCGGTAGCTTGCCGGGCTCTCCAAGAGGGGCGGAGGAATCGAACTCGGGTTGGCCATGCTGGCTGCGTGCAAGGCAAACGCCCTACCGCTGTGCTATCACTCCAGCCCGGAACTAAATATAATAAGGAAAATGTGTATTGCTAAATTTGTTATGTTAAACTCTCATTGGTTTATTTGTAGACTGTGGCTACAAACTGTTCATCGATGAATAATATTCACGAAATGGAAATACAACTGAAAGATGTAAGTTGATTTTTCTTTTATTTAAGTTATAGCTAAAGAAAACATTAATTCTTAGGTTTCGTGGAGCTTAACAACTTTGATGCTGTGACTTGGAAAAAACTTGTTGAGACATAGACTTGAATAGTTAAATATCATCTTTCTAGGTTTCTACCTTTGAATCTCTATCAAAACCCATGCTTCTAACTTAAGTCTTTTAAGCTAAAAAGTGCTAGAAATCATCTTTCACTATCAAATACCTCCAGAACCTCCCTTCTCTAGTAAATCTAATTTTTCACAAGTGTCTTATAATTATAAAGTAATTTAATTCCTCTTTCTTATCTCTTTTTAAATGCATATGAGATGCATGCTTTAGTTTGAAGTTCTTCCTTCCTTGGAGCCAGGATTGCGTTTATTTTTGTTTGGAAAGAAAACACATTCTTTATATACTTAGTACAACTTAATAGGTTTTTTTCCCCCTAGATATGCAGTGAAACAATATTACTTAAAACTTAGGTGGATTGATGCAGTGTCTCCTGCATGCCTTGCAGCCCATCACGACAGTTATTTATCTTTTGAGAGCCCAGCAGCTCTAGCCCCATATTCCTCCATATGGCCCCCAGAACATCATTAGAAATTTGCCATCCTTTTCTAAGAATCAGTATTTGCTATGTCAAAATAAGTGTTAAGACCTCTGTTTACCTTTTTAAGGCCGAGCTGTATTATACTTTCAGTTACTATTTGGGTATGACTAACATTTTGACATAACTACATGGAATTAATATTATAAACTATTGCCCAATACCACTAGCTTTAAAACCAAATAACTAAATGGTAAATTTAATAGACATTTCTTTATTTTGGATTGCATTGCTGGCCTCTCTTAGCAGTGCTCAAATGTGGGGCCAGAATTTGAACATGGAGCTCCTTCATTTGAGCTCTCTCCCTGGGATATTTCTTAGTCTTCACTCACTTTCTTAAAGATGATTTTAAAGCAAAGTTTAGGAAAGATTAAAAAAAAGTTTAATTTTCAGGTTAGTAGCAAAATTGGCAATGGAATAGAATACTTAAATATGCTATTGTTAGCATGTTTTACATACTTTCTTTTTTTTATTTCTCCTCATCCTTGTACCCTTAAGTGTGTACATTTTCTGAACCATTTAAAGTGAGTTGCATTGATTCATGGACTTTTATACTTACATGTTTTAGTATGTATTCATAGGAATGAGAATGTTCTCATTCCACAGTGCAAACAGACTTTAATAAATGTAACATAAACTCTGTACATCTCTAATCTGCCATGACAAAACTCTCAATATTTTATTCCTTCAGTTTATGGAAGCATTTTAATATACATTGAAATTTTGGCTCAATGAGTATTAAGTAGATCCCTATCAAGCCAGATGAAGCATTTTCATGTCAGTTTACTGGGCACCATTTTTTGTTCTTTGTATTGGTGGACAAATAATGTTCTTGGTTTTGGAAATGTCAAGTAGTTGCTGAACAAAAGTATAAATAACATAAAGCTAAAATACAAAACTAATGCAACAACGGTAATTTTTAACAGTCAAAATTAATAATATCAGTATTTATTGATAGAAATCAAAGTCATTTATTGTTGAAACTATGAAAAGAAAAAAGCAGATGAACTTAGTGAGTAGGGAATAATGAAAGGCGTAGTGATTTATTGAAGTAACATCACCATCTTGTGGAGTTTTAGAATATTACCTCTCAAACCTCAAAGTTACAGTTTTATTTCTCAGACTTACGTGATGTAAGGATAAGTTCATACAAACAGGAAAATTTTTGTGCCATCCAACATCCATTTAAGTTTTGTATAATAAACTATTCATAAATGTGTTTGAATTTCAAATTTGACATAAAAAGACTGTGTGTGCGTGAGTGTATGTTTTTAAAGCACTTTTATGTCACTTTTCAGGAACCTCCAAAGCAGTGCTCCTGTGCCGAGGGCCACTTCCAATCATTTTCTGCTGTGTAGTCTGGATGGGCCAGTGCTCAGGCCTGGGAATGTAATATAGTTCAGGCCTACTGGTCTCGAGAGTCACCAGAGCCACCTACTCTAACAATGCTCAGGGCTCTCCAAGGCCACACCCACCGTATGACCTCCATGTCTACACCTACCAGTGTTTAGGTGGCCCCTGGTTCTAGGCATGGAAATTAAGGGTTTATATATGGGCTTCAGTCCTTTGAGCCCCTGACCCCCAATGGACACTTATAAAAATATATTCCAGTATATGTGCTTTACTTCGGCAAAGTTACCATGTAGCGTGTGTGTGTGTGTGTGTGTGTGTGTGTGTGTGTGTGAGAGAGAGAGAGAGAGAGAGAGAGAGAGAGAGAGAGAGAGAGACGAACCTTGTACCATCTCTTCCTGGCAGTTCTAAAGAATATGAAGTTGTAAGGCCTGCTTAACACTTTACATGGAAAATAATGAATTACAGTGGGTCTAGGATGAATTAGGACTTGAAAGATTAAAAAAATAACTATACTAATCCTACTATTGCAAAGGGGTTTTTTATTACTTAATGACTAATAGATTTTTAAAAGATTTTTTTTAATGACTTTTGTATTGTATGTGAGAACTGGCTAGATTAGTTCATGCCCCTCTCTCTTCCCTAGATACTTTCAGACATCGGTTCAGTCTGAAAACCTGCTTAGGTGTTCACTGATTTTTTTTTTTTTTTGATTTTTGAGTCATACCCAGCGATGCACAGAAGTTACTCCTGGCTCTGCGCTCAGGAATTACCCCTGGCGGTGCTCAGGGGACCATATGGGATGCTGGAAATCGAACCCGGGTCAGCCGTGTGCAAAGCAAACGCCCTACTCGCTGTGCTATCGCTCCAGCCCTGTTCACTGATTCTTGCAGCCGCAGTTTTCCCATGTTATGTTGTCATCATCATTCGCAAACATATCAGGCAGCCATTTGCTGCAAAAATTGTGACATATTCTCAGTCCTATAAAACAAGGTATCTACACCAGCCTGGGCCTAGCTGTCAAAAAAGACTCATAATCTAGTTAAGAAGTATCATCAGGAAGCAGTCAACATCATGAGTATGAGAGGCCATATCGATTGCACGTACAGTAGAAGCATATTAACTTACAAAGGAGAAGGAGTTTGGTGAGGACAGGTAGGGTGAGGAGGCTTGAAAGAGAAGCCTGGAATCGGAGGAACCCGATGAGAGTGGTATGTTGGTGAGCATGTGTCGTGGGAAGGTATTTAAGCGCTCTCAGGAGAGAGAGAAAATGTGAGCAAAACCCAGAGAGTTGCAGAGTTGGGGACAACAAGGTAATAGTGCAGGAAAGGCCAAGCCAAACCTGAAGAGATGGGAAGAGACAGATTGCATATCATTTTCTTTCAGCTCAGAAGATCGCTTTAGCTTCAGCAAGTGGTGTAGAGAAGCTTTCTATCTTTTTCCAGTTACTAATGTAATTAAAACAAGCACATGGGGAACTGAATGAGAGGTTGCATTGAATTTAGGAATGGCTATTTTGGCTTAAAATATTGAATGTTATTGTACTGATTAATCTAAAGCTCTTGGTGTTGCCTGCTTTTCTCTCCCATTCCTGGCTGGGAGATTATCCTCCAACTCCAAATGAATAGAACCATTACTTCTGTTTTCTCTGAATCCAATCCCAGTCAGGAGTACTCAGTTCCAACTGCAATTCATTGCTCAAGTAGGCATCCGTGGGGGCAGAGAAGCCAGAGCATGGATAACAGGGAACTTAGTTATCCAGCACAGGTGCTCGACCATCATGAAGGCCTGTTCACACCACTGTGCGTACCTCCCCCCAGGACACTTGATGCATTTTGCATATGTGACAGGTTTAGATTTGTGGGGCCTGTCACTGCGCCTTACTCAGTGACTTAGCCCTTGGGAAGCAAAGTAAGCAAAGGGGACAAAGCCCTCCTCTTGGAACTGAGGACCCAGGTTGGAGAGGAAAGGGATGTCATAATCTCACTGCATGCTATGTAAGGAATTCTCTTTTTTTCCCCTCCTGGCATCAGCAGATGAAGTGTAGTCTTTGCCTGAATTTGGCCTTCTTGGGGTACCAAAACTGGAGCCTGTGAAACAGGGGTAGGAGGCGAGGCAGAGGGGTAGCGGGTAGTCAGTGGGGAGGCCGGGCTATCCTGGCAGGCTTCTATGACTTTGCTTTTGACTGAATTTCTAAGAATCGCATGGCTAAGAACAGTGAGAGTTAGACCCGGATGACATAGGTGTCTGTTCTACCGTAGCCATAATAAAGCATTTCATACATCTCTGCTCCTTTGTCCGTATTTTCCACTTTCTTTTATCCATTGATAAACCGTTATTAGTGGAGTTTCTTACATGAATATTTGCTGATGTTTTACCACAAATCAGGAGGTATGATCCACAGAAAATGTAGGTATAATTTGGAAAGGAAGACTCCCAAGCAGTGCTCAGGGGCCTGAATCTATACTGTGATTCTCAGCCAACTGCCAGACAATTAAATGTAAGGGGGGAGGATGAGGTGCTGCTTAGGCCATGTGGTGCCGGGCACCAGGCTACCCTGGTGGTGTTTGGGGGCTACTAGGCCACACCTGCTTTACTGGCAGGGCGGGGGTAGGGGCATGTAGCGCTAGAGATGGAAGGCATGCACTCTAACCCCTGGGCCATCTCCCTGGCCCCATCAGTATGGTTATGAGATTTTAAAACGCATGCTAGGTGACCTGGCAAGGCTATCACAGAATATCTAATTTTTTGAGGGACAGATGGAGAAAAATGAAAAGCTAATATTAGTGGTAACCAAGACTTCTTGTAACTATTTTATATGAGCCCAAAGAACTTTTTATGTGCTGGTGCTTAGGAGATAATACAGGAGTTAAGGTGCTTGCCTTACGTCCCACTAGGCCAAGTTTGAGTCGCTGCCACCACATTTGTCTCCCAGCCAAGTGTCACTCCTGAGTATGGAGCCAGGAATCAATACCCCAGATCCAGGTGCACACCCCACCCTGCCACCCCACAGAGCTTTTATGTGCTGGAAAGGAACATCACTTGGCTCTTTTGTCCATTTGAAGATTTTGGTTCTTCATGTCGTTATGATTTTCTTTCATTTTCACATCGAGGCTCTGGAGAAGAACCAGCAGTGGCTTGTGTATGATCAGCAGCGAGAGGCCTACGTGAAAGGACTTTTAGCAAAGATCTTCGAGTTGGAACAGAAATTAGAAGCAGCTGCTCATTCACTCCCACAGCAGACAAAAAAGATGGAATCGGAAGGTACTGATATAAAAATGTTCTTTGGGCATAGGCCTTCCTGACATTTTCCAACAGGAGAGAGTCATTAAATTTAGATTTTTATAGATATGTGTTAGAAAGTAAAATACACAAGTCTTTCAGTCCTGAAGGAAGGAATTCCATTTTGGTAAGTTTTTTTCCTCCCTCTTCTTTATAAAAAAGGGCCTGAGGCTTGGTAAAAGGTATCTCTGATAGATCTGAAAACTTTAAATTTTCTTCACTAAGATGCCCTCTTTTTATGCCTCCCCTTCAAACTTTTTCAGTATTATTTTCTCCAGAGCTGGTCTTGTCACTGGTTATCTTTGATTTCCTCCTAGTATTTATTCATATTGATCCCCTGGAGAAAGGATACATTTCACAGAAGACCTTAGTCATTTGAATCTTACCAGAGAGTTGTGAGAAAGTTTATGAATGATGCTTAGATACTCTAATTGTTCTATTTCCCTGACATCATTGCAACTGAAATGCACAAAGAAAGAAATTAACAAGAACCCTAAGAGATGAGGCAGGAAAGATCATTCTTTCCAATTTTCAGATGAAAAAATATGTTTAGCAGTTCTAGATGACAAGCTAGGAAAGGAAGAGAGCTCGCATCCCATGCAGTCAAAAGACTGACGATTCTATGGACTGAAACCTTAAATTCTAGAAAGGTCAGGAAATATACCATGCTTATGAGCTTGGACTTTTATGTCTATAGCTAATACTGAATTGGCTACCCTAAAGGGGACAAAATTACCACTGTAATGCCTTCATAAATAGAATTTTAGTTCTGGATTGTCTAATTTTTTTCTTTGGCATTGCTTTTTTGTCTATATGCAGGTTTCTTAATTTCAATTTTTAAAATTTATTTGAGGCACTATGATTTTCAATACTGTTAATGATAGGGTTTCATGCATATAACATTCCAACAATACACCCTCCGCCAGAGTGTCTCTTCCTTCCACCATTGTTTCTGGGTCTCCTTCTATCCATCACCAGCCCCCTCCTCCCTGCTACCTCTAGGTAAGTTCAATTTTCTAGGCAGTCTCTGGTTCTGTTGTTTTTGGCCATTTTTTATTCCCTTACTATGTTTCTTTATATCTTATATATGAGAGACATCATTTTGTATTTGTCATTTTCTTCTAACTTCACTCAGCTTTCTAATTTCTAGTTTCATCCACATAATGGCAATTTGCATAATTTTGTCTTTTCTTGGAGCTAAGTAGTATGTATATGTCTCTGTCTGTGTGTAAAATATATATATATATATATATGTATATTACAGATCTTGGCTATTTTGAATAGTGCTGCAATGAATATGGGAGCCCAGATGTCTTTTTTGAATACTTTTCGAGCCCTTGAAATAGATGCCAAGAAGTGGAATTGCAGGGTCATGTGGAAACTCAATTCTTAGTTTTTTGACACATGTTCCATGTTATTTCCAAAGTGACTGAACCAGTTGACATTCCCACCAGTGTGGATGGGGATTTCTATTTTTCCTTCCACGTTCACACTAGAACTGGTTGTTTGTATTTGGTTTTGTGTGTGCCAGTCTTACTGGTGTAAAGTGATATCCTATTTTTATTTTGGTTTGAATCTCCTTCATGATAAGTGATGAAGAACATTTTTTTTCATAGACTTATTGGCCATCTCTGTGTCTTCATCGAGGAAGTGTCTGTTTATTTCATCTCCTCATTTCCTGCTGGGGTAATTTGTGTTTTTGTTATCAGTTTTACAAGTTGTACACATGTTTTATCAGACCAGTAGAGGCCCTTATTAAAGTAGTAGACTGGGACAGCATAGCCCTGTTCTACGTTCCCATCCCATCCTACCCTACCTATATTCTGTCCCCATGTAGTAGCTCCATTTAGCATTTTCGTTTTTGGTTTTTGACCACTATCTCCATAGCTATAATGAGTTTCTAATCTATTTGTTGATTGATCTTCTTTAGACTTCAGTGAGTTTTCCTCGCTACCAAATGGTTATATTATTGCATTGATTCTTTCATTTATTAGTTTTGTAAATTTTTATAATTTACCCAACTTGTTTTTTACTTTGCCAGTTAACAATCCTGTGTCTTAATTAAGAAACAGAGGAACAAACCTATACAGAGCAATCAAGAATCCTGAAACAAATTTGTTAATAGCAGGTTTATATCATATAGGAACTAAATTATAATGCTTTGAATTATCTTTTCTATAAACAAAATCAACTCTATCTTTATGACAAAATTCATTTCCATGTTTATACACAAAAATAATTTTTATTTAGATATCAGTTTTCTATAAATCTTTTAATGACTAAATATGTCAATCAAAGATACTAGGACCATTTAAAGCACAGGTTCCCAAAGAATCAAATAACCCTGAAGAATAAACCAAGCAATCAGACATTCCATTCAAAGAACACCTAGTTTTCATGCCCATTTCAAACCCAGAATTCTTTCTGATGGGGCTTCCTGACCCATGGTTCTCTTGGGTCTAGGAGTTAATTCAAATGGAACACTCTCACGCTGGGTTCAATCCTTGGCACCGCATGCCTTCCTTAGTATTACTGGAAAGACTAGCCCAAGCACTGCCCAGGAAAGTAGTCCTTGGAGCACTGTCAGATGTGTTGTTGTATTATGTTTTTAAAAAGCAAAACCTAAAATAATAATAATAATAAGTAACAGAGGAGAAGTGGGTGAAGGTTGTTTGTTTAAATAAAACTTTACACATAAAAAATAATCCTGTGTCTTGACTCCTCATTTTATAAAGTGAAAAAGTAATTGAAACATGTATCTTTTCAGGAATACATATCTGTTTTGTAAAATGAATTTTGTGAAATATCCTGATATATTTGTCATAGGTTATCTTCAAGAAGAAACGCAAAAATATTACAGCCGTCTCTTGACAGAAGCAAAAAAAGATCTTGAGGTTGAACGACAAACTGTGACTCAGTTGAGTTTTGAACTTAGTGAATTCCGAAGAAAATATGAAGAAACCCAAAAAGAAGTTCAAGATTTAAATCTGCTGTTGTGTTCACAAAGGAAGGCAGATGTACAACATTTGGAAGATGAAAGGCACAAAACAGAGAAAATAAAACAACTCAAGGAAGAGAATGACATTACCAGGGAAAAACTTGAAGTAGAGAAAAAGAGATCTGAAGAGCTCCTATCTCAGGTGAGCTTAACCAACAAAGGTTTTCCATGATTTATAGTTCCAAATTTTCATTGTCTTTGCTAAGTATCAGGAACCTATTATAATTACCAGGAATTTTAAAAATAGGATCAAAATGAGTTTCTGCCCCTTTACTGGAGTCCATATTTATATAGTAAAAAATGGAAACTGACTGTAGACCCATCTTTAAATTAAGCAAGTAAAATTTAAACAGGATAGTATTACATGGAGGAATTGGGGGCAAGTGGAGGACTCATTGTGGAGATGGTATTTGGAAAAAGACCCGATGACAAAGACCTGGCAAGACAATGAGTGGAATTTCTCTCTGCAATCACGGAGGCAATCACGCACCCAAAGGCTTTGAGAGGAAAGAAGGCATGTATCAGAAGGTCAAAGAAGATGTGGTATAGCAGGTGGAATCAAGGCTGATTCTTAGACTTGATTGAATTGATGCTCCTTTCTTATTCATTTACATGGTACCTCTGTGCTCTCAATTTCCTCCCATCTTTGTGCCAGGCTACTTCTGTAGTATTGTAGTTAAGGAAGTTAGGATGATAAGAATTGTCTAATTTGACAAAAGCTTAAATTCTTTGCTTGACTACATGAACTAAAAGAAAGGATGTTGTTTGTATCCATGCCAGGTTTGTAGTCCAAGGTGCGTGGTCTTTTGCAAGTCACCTAACTTCTCTGACTCATAGGTTATTCACGTGTCCTCTTAATAACAGTAACCTTTTCCTGCTGCGTTGGGCCTTTGTGAGACCTCAGGAAGAGAATGTAAAAGTGCTTTGTAAACAAAAAGGCTAGGTAAATGTTAGTTATTGCTATATCATATTATTATATTATAGCAGTCATTTTTTGTTTGTTTTGTTTTGTTTGGAGGCCACACCTAGTGGTGCTCAGGGCTTACTTCTGACTCTGCACTCTGAGATCGCTGCTGGTGATACTAGGGGGATCATGTGTGGTGCCAGGGATTGAACTCAAGTCAGCCGCATGCAATGCAAGTGCCGTCCCTACAGTACCATCACTCTGGCCCCTGTAACATTAATTTTTTAAAAATCGTTGGTAACATTTGCTTTCTTAGTCTTTGACATTTTCACTTCTGCCTCCAGATTTGAACAATATTTACACAGGCCAAGTAGAAATGGTTGAGATTTTTGCTCCAACTCTGTGGCCCAGTAGACATGACCTTGCCAGCTTTGTTATTGTTCAGAGAAATATTAGCTGATGTCAGCTCCTCCGGGAAAGTGGGTGTCCCTGCGGAGTTCAGTGCTGCTTACCGACTACCTGTGTATGTCCTAGGCCAGGAGTTTTCGACCGCAGATCCATGGACTGGCGCTCAGCTGCAGTGGTACTGCTCAGCTCCTTTCATCAGACAGTTGTGCTTGTCAGCAACCCCTCCCCCCCCCAACAGCTGACGTGATGCATACACCGTGCAGGGGTAACTGGCAGGTGTTCCAGTTAGAGATGTGAGACTGGTGAGCGGAGCTTCCCAAGGCAGCTGACTAAAGGTCTGATGTTGGTGTGACATTGGTTCTGTTTGTGTCCTCTAGGTCCAGTTTCTTTACACGTCGCTGTTAAAGCAGCAGGAGGAGCAAACAAGGGTGGCTTTGTTGGAACAACAGGTAGGGGTTGCTTCTGAGTTCACTTCAGCAGCCCATTAGAAAACAATTTTTCCTTGTGTTTAAACCATTCTATGTAAGGTCATTGAAAAGTTGTGAAGAGGGCGGGGAGTTCTTCACACTCGGATTAAGGTTGGAGTGCATGCTTCGCCTGAAAGCATAAGTTTTAAAACAAAACTTCTGAATCACTCCCCTGCACCCCATTGTTCCCAACTTGTCGCTGGGTGTGGCCTTGGAAGTCCCCTGAGCACCACTGGGGTGACCCAGGGGTTCCCAGCACCGTGGGGCCCATGTAACACTGTAATACCCAGTCCTCACATTGAACTGTCTGGCCTGGTTGGCTGACAGTTGCTAGGAGTGACCCCCCGAACTCATGAGCACTGCTTGGAAGGGTCAAAAATAAATGAATGAATAAAGATGGAAGAAACACTTTTATTTTAACTTTAACAAAAAAATTAAGAGAAACCATGTTAGACATATATTCCTTTTATTGTCTTTAGGTCAAAACAGTTTCTCTGAGGGTAAGATGGTAGGTCGCTTGACAAGGAGATGTTTCCTTGACAGATTTTATTCTCTCCCAGATCCTGTAGTTCCTACTCTGGGGTAACATGGGGGATCTCCCTAATAAATATAAAGATACTCCATTTATTCTCAGGATATAGATTGTTAGCACATTTTAACCTAGGGAATAGCTTTCTCTTTCCACCCTCCTCTTTCTCTATTAAAAATAAAAGGTGTAGAAGAGGAGATTGGAGACAAGCACTTTTTTTTTTTTGCTTTTTTTGGGGGTCACACCTGGTGATGCACAGGGGTTACTCCTGGCTCTGCACTTAGGAGTTACTCCTGGCGGTGCTTAAGGGACCATATGGGATGTTGGGAATTGAACCCGGGTCGGCCGCATGCAAGGCAAACGCCCTACCCGCTGTGCTATCTCTCCAGCCCCAACGAGCACTTCTTAAACTGTTTCATTCACCTGTACCTGCCTCAGTCATTGACTTCGCTCTCTGGATAAGCTTCCTTCAGCTTCTTAACACTCATTGCTAAGATGAATTACTAAGATGGTAGGTCAAAGTTTTGCTCCTTTTTCTTTGACTATAATTGTTTTGTTCTGTATATTTTTTCAGATGCAGGCTTGTACTTTAGACTTTGAAAATGAAAAAGTTGACCGTCAAAATATGCAGCATCAATTACATGTAATACTTAAGGAGCTCCGGAAGGCAAGAAGCCAGATAACACAGCTAGAATCCTTGGTGAGCCTGGATCTTATTTTCAGACTTATTTTCTTTTTTCTCTTTCTGCCATCTTTCTATTTATGTATTAAACCAGTTCTTTTTTTTGGGGGGGGGGGTTCAAACCCAGCTATGCATAGGGGTTACTCCTGGCTCATGCACTCAGGAATTACTCCTGGCAGTCCTCGGGGGACCATATGGGATGCTGGGAATTGAACCCAGGTGCAAGGCAAATGCCCTACCTGCTCTACTATCACTCCAGCCCCTTAAACCAGTTCTTAACATAAGTAGACCATAACTTAGAGAATATAAAAAGAGAAGATAACTTAAAGAATGACTGTTTTTTAAACCAATAATTGATAGAGCCCTGTCTTCTGAAGCACCTGTCCTTTGAGTTTGAATTTCAGCTTCTGAAAGAGGAGCACATTCTTCTCAGAAATGATCTCGGTACCTGGGATTATCCCCCTGTACCTACCCCTAGTGGTGTGATTCTAGAGGCTTTAGTGACCTAGGGTAGGAAGTTGGGATGGGAGACCTCCCTCCTTATCATCAAAAATTCTATTTTTCTATTAGAAAGAAAGGAATAGACAGAAATAATAGACTTTTACTGTTGGGATACTGTTTAAAGCACATTTTGTGGGTTACCTGAAAGCATAAGTTTTAAAACAAAATTTTTAAATTTCATTGTTTCTTTAAGGGCATAGTGTTTGGCTTATCTATGTTGCTAATAATGTCTTAGGCCAAATCTGCTCGGATTTACATTTGTTTGTTTATCTCCATTAGTTCAAGTTTTATATGTTATCCTGGCAATGCAGAATATTTGCAAATGATGAAATGTTACAGTTAGAATTTCTCAGTTTCCATGATCACGATCACAATCATCCTGTTGTTCGTCAATTGCCTCGAGCAGGCCCCAGTAACGTCTCCTTCGTCCTAGCCCTGAGATTCTAAAAAGTGCCACATTCAAGGCTCTTTCAGGGTTAGGAGAATGAGACCCATCATTGTTACTGGTATTTGGCATATTTGGTACGCCACAGGGAGTTTGCCAGACTCTGCCGTGTGGGCAGGTTACATTCGGTAGCCTGCCAAGTTGTCCAAAGCAAGAATGAGATAATAAGATGTCCAGGAGCTGGGTTTTATAGTCTCATTTTCCAAAGGAGGAAAAAAGTAATTGTCTGAAAAATTATTTGTGGTGCCTGAGAGATTAATCTAAGGGCTGGAGCACATGCCTGGCATGCAGAGGCCTCAAATTCAGTCCCCACAAGCACTGTCAGTGGAGCATTGCTTGAGACTCCACCCCCTCCTCCTGCCCCTCAGCAATAAATTATTCTTTGTCACTTACTCTTCAGCATTATTAATTCATTATCCTTTCCACCTGGTTAGACAGAAACATGAGTGAAGCTGCCTTGGATTTTCCAGACCAGCTCATTGTCCATCAAGCAAACAGAAAATCCCTAAAGTTTTGTAGTGATCAACCAACAGCATCATCATTTTTCGTAGACAAAGTCATTCAATCATGCTGAACTAGGGCTGGAGCGATAGCACAGCGGTAGGGCGTTTGCCTTGCACGCAGCCAACATGGTCGACCCGAGTTCGATTCCTCCGCCCCTCTCGGAGAGCCCGGCAAGCTACCGAGAGTATCTCGCCTGCACGGCAGAGCCTGGCAAGCTCCCCGTGATGTACTCGATATGCCAAACACAGTAACAACAAAGTCTCCAATGGAGACGTTACTGGGCCCGCTTAAGCAAATCGACGAACACCGGGAGGGCCTTTACCTTTACCTATTTTCAATACTTCACTGATTTTTGACCTTATGAAATTGAAATGTATGATGCTCTTCATGATTGCTTATCAAAGTATAGAGTATTTGTCATTTCGTGTCTACTTTCCTGTGTGTTCCTACTGGTCATCTTTTCATAGTGTACAGTAGAATCTTCACTTTCAAATGTGACTGTTCTAAGTTCCTCAAGACAAATCATGGGAAAAACAGAAAACTTCATAGGTATTAGACAATATCATTGCTGGGGATTACCTGTTTGATGTGCTCAAATTCTTGCTGCCTTGAACACTCCATGTAGTTATTCACTCCCGAACTCGCCCCTCTTTTTACAAGACCAGCTAAGTATATTTAATCAGTCTTGAATACAGGTCTACCTTTACATTTGGTGTAAGGATTTCAATAAAACCTTACTTTGTAAATACCACACCCTAGTACTTCCTGGGCAATTTGAGTAATTCATAACCAACTCCTATGTTCCTGGACATGAAGAGCAGAGGTGAAAAGAAATCTGTCTGCAGTACTGAAGCAGCTAGAATATCTATGGAGTAGTTACCCTTGTTGAACAGTAGGCCTGATAGATGAAATGTGTTTATTTTGACATTTTCAGAAGCAGTTTCGTGAGTTCGCCTTCACAGAGCCGTTAGTCACTTTCCAAGGAGAGACTGAAAACCAAGGAAAAGTTGCCTCACCAAAAAGTCCTTCTGCGGCATTGAATGAAAGTCTGGTGGAGTGTCCCAAGTGCAATATCCAATATCCAGCCACTGAACATCGAGACCTACTTGTCCATGTTGAATACTGTTCCAAGTAGCAAAAAAAAAAAAAAAAAAAAAAACTTTTTGTTTTCTTGTCAAATGTTTCAATACTGTATCTTACATTAGCTTATGGACATTTTTAATAACTTGCTTCATCAATTAAAAAAAACTGTGTATCTACCTGTAAGATTTGGGCATTGAAGTAACATATTTTGATTTGTTTTGTTTTGTTGACTCCTTGCAGTTTTCTTGGTAGCGATACCTCCAGGAAATGGTTCATATTCAGGCTTCAGAGATACCAGGTGGTAAGCAGTGAAGGCTGAGACGACTAGCATTTTGCACTATTACTTGATGGAGGAAATGTAGTTTAGGTTTATTTGTAGGTTAAATCTTTTGCACCAGGAAGCAACTATTTCACGTTTTGGGAACATAAAGAAAAACATAAAGGAAAATCAGAGGTAATTAATGCTTTACTATGCTAGTATTTTTTTACCTACAATTTCCATGTAGATGCCCATTCTTTTAAAAAAAATGGTAATACTTTTATATTTTCCTACTGTTATCAGAGAGCAGTTATTAGAAATTTGGGGATTTTATTGATCCCTACTGATGCTTAACTATTGAAAATATAAATCTAACTGTTCTAAACATAATGCATGATCTATTTACAGGATGCTCTTAAGTTACAACACACATTTTTATATTAATTGGCTATAATTTTAACCTGAATTTCATTAACATCTATTGGTCAGCTATTATTTAAATGTTTCTTTAAAACAGAGCCATCTACCCGTCCCAGATTTGCAAATATTTTACTTATTTATTTTAGCCACTCTTAAAAGTTGGACAATGTAATGAACAGATTACTTATTTGAATATAGATATATATTGTATATGCATGTGTAAACCAAAAAGTTTTTTATTCAGGTTTTCTAAAATGCTTATTAACACTGGGCTATTGTTAGTAATATAAAGAAAAAAATAAAATTATTTAATAAGTTTTAAATATGTGTAGTATATATCTGTATAGATAGAAATTGTACTATGTCTGCCCTGAGAGGAACATACAGCGAAGCCGATAAGGATATTTTATAACCAAAAACTACCTGAAGGAGGCAGGCGTGGATACTTGAAGCATCTTTGTTGAAAGAAGCAACTCTGGTCATTACAGATGCTCCTGAATTATCTGTAAAAAAGGCAACAAAAGAGTTTCACCATGTTTTTTCTTTTTTTTGACCATAGAAAATGTAATAATATAAAAAGTTTCTCTCTTTCTTCATAATCTCAGGTAGGCAGTGTCTTTAATTACAGGGAGTAGATCTGTCTGTTGTTCTGCTTGACAGATCTCATTATATCACACAATGTCATGACATCTGCCAGAGAATTAAGCAAGTATATGCAGTAAGGAAGATGTTCTCCTTACCATTTTTTTTAAGCAAGTTAGATATTGTCTCTAGTTTGCTCGAGCGGGCCCAGTAAACGTCTCCATTGGAGACTTTGTTGTTACTGTGTCTGGCATATCGAACACGTCACGGGGAGCTTGCCAGGCTCGTGCGGGCGAGATACTCTCGGTAGCTTGCCGGGCTCTCCCAGAGGGGCGGAGGAATCGAACTCGGGTCGGCCATGTTGGCTGCGTGCAAGGCAAACGCCCTACCGCTGTGCTATCGCTCTAGTTTATGATTTGGAAAATGCTTTGGGCACTAGAAGAGTCAGAACCAGAATCCAGGTCGTTGGTCCATGCCAACATGGCCACAACGTAATGCATAATAGAAGTTCCAATCTGATGATCACTGGTCTTTGATTCTAAAAGCTACCAAGTGATCTCTATGGAGTCCAGATGCTTACTTTGTCCTCTGTGTTCATGTGCAGGGTCTATAGTTAGGGGCCTTCTCTGCCCACTTCATCAGCCAACATCTGGGCTCTGATAGCATGTATATATATCTTTGGAAAACTTTCAAGACCGTGACCATCTCTTCTGTGGAAAGCTCTGACACTGCAAAGTCTTCTATACTTTCTAACACATGATTCAGGACAGAACAGGTTATTCTTTTTAAGATTTTGTACTAAAGCAAGAAGTCAGTGGAAGGTACTTAAAAGATCTAAAACTCTTTTAAGTTTGCATAATTAAAAACTCTTTCCTTCATTGTCTGCCTTCATGGCAGATGACCACATACTTCAGGGCATGTTTGATCCTGGTTGAATATTAATTGTGAATATTAAGTATAAGCCTGAAAATGAGCTGACTAATTTACATATCAGTTTATAATTGCAAATCCATGAAAGGCTATGCCCCGCACTTTGGAGGGGGGGGGCGTTGGTAATAAATGGTAAAGAGGGAATATAGACTCCGTCCACGGTGTACCCGCGCCTCCTGCTGCCCATCAAATTCTGGGCCTGCTATGTCACAAAACTTCTCTTGAAAGTTTTTAAAAGAGTTACACACTGAGTTCTGACAAACATAACTTTTGTATTATAAATCTTGCCATCATCGAGGTTTTAGACTTTGTTATTGCCCTTTTAGCTTCCTTTAATCTTTTCCAGGGGGGGCTCTGCTGCAGTGTTGGGACCCCCTCCCTGTGATACTCTGACACTCATGGCCAACGGTTCAATGATAGACTAAGCGGTGTGTGCTGCTTGCACCCCTCAGTGCTTGCCCTTTTTGGGCCCCAACTTACAGCACAATGTTTTGACACTCACCCGTGTTGCATGTATGTTTAATACATTCCTTTTTACTGCTAGTAATATTTCATTTTATAATATATCAGAATTTGCTTTTTTGATGAGACGTTGGAGTGTTTCTTGCACAAGTATTTTTGTCGTATTATGTCCCTGTCTAGTAAGTACTTAGAAGTGGAATTACTGGGTTATATGCAAGGGGCTATTTTTCTTTACTGAGTCAAAAACTATCAAATACTTTTCCAAGGTGGTTGTATTCCCTCCAACCAGCAGTAAATTGAGTTCCTGTTATTCCACATGCTTCTCAGCACTTGGTCTTGTCAGTCTTTAGTTTTAAGTAGTCTTGTGATATATAGTAAAATTTTGTTGTAGTGTACAGTTTTGTTCCCTGATGACTAATGATGTTGAGCATCCATTTCTATAAATTGGACATTTGCATCCCTGTCTGTATGCCTATTTGAAGTGTCTTTATAAGTTTTTTTAGCCATTTTTATATTGGACTTTTAAAATTTATTTATAGTAGTTAATATGAATAATTTTTGTCAGATATTTGAAATGGGAATATTTACTGCCATTTTGTGGTACACCTTCAGGTTTATTGTTGTGTTGTTGCTTTTTCTGTTTGAGTTTTAGTTGGTTGCACACCATTTATTGAAGAGACTTTCCCTATCCAAATGTACTAGAAATTTTTTTTTGTAAATCAAATGACTGTTCATTGCCTTTTATCTGCTTATTTGGCTGTGCAACAATATTGTGCTAAATAAATTGCTGAAATTTTACTGTAAGTTTTGAAATTATGGTTTGCAAGTTCTCCAGTATTCAGGAATAGTTGAGCTAATAAATATCCTTTTCATTTGCATGTAAGTTTGAGGGTGAGCATTCAGTTTTTATAAACATCAAGAATCTAGATATTTCTGGAAAACTAATATCTGGACAATTCAAGAATATTGTACATTTCTCTTATTATTCTGATTTTTTTTAATTCTCTCAATCATGTCTTATAGTTTCCATTCTTCCACTAAGTTTATTCTTATGTATGTGGGATTTACTTTAGATGCTAAAATAAATGGCATTTAATGATTTAATTATGATTGTTGTTTTTACTATGAATTGGGTTTTTAAAAATATATATACACAAAATATAAAAATGTCTCACATTTACATGTATTTTTCTGCAAAGCCTTTGAAAATCAGTGTGTGATTTTGCACTTACATCATATCATAGTCTAGACTCACCACTTTCAAAATGTACAATAGTCACATGTGGCTACCAGTATCTTTGATTCTTTTTTTGAGTTATTATTTCTCTATTGAGGTCTCTGTTTCTTCACCCATTTTGTCCAATTCCTTCAAATTCAATACTGTTTATAGTAACTTAAAATAGCCATTCTGTTTTTTAATTCCAAAGCATATGTCATCTGTCAATTCATTTTATGGTATAATTCACATTTTCCTGCTTTTTTTTATGTCTTTTAATTTTAATTATCTGTGTGACATTGTGAGTAGTATGTTATAGAAATTAGATTTATGTTATTTTTCTTTTAAGAAAAGTTCTGTTCTTGGAGACTGTTAAAATCTCTGCCAAATCACCACAATGGCCCATGGAAGACTGGACTAAGGTATTCTATTACAGTCTAACCTTAGTCCTAGGATTTGGCATTAGACCTGGAAGGTGGTGATTATTCTTAAGGCATCCAGCAGTTCACTGGGTCTCAAATTAAAGTTCGTGATGTTCTTCAAGTTCCTCTGACTTGAAGGAAAGACATCAACATCTAACACTCTCTTTAGTATTACACTGTTGCTGAAATCTTTGCTCAGATCCAGCCATATAAACTCTGAATCTCGGCAATTCAGAGGAGTCAGATGAGTATTGGGGGTGGGGTTTATGCACAGAGTAGAAAGCTCTTCTCTCTTAGGATCTTTTCTTTCTCAGGCAGTTAAGAGGAGTCAGACAAGCACTGGGATTGGGAGGGAGGCAGGATTTGTACGCGGATTACAGGGCTCTTTTCTCTTCGGATCATTTCTAGAATTACCTTCTCAACTTCCAACTCCTTGAAGCTTCGAACTTCTTTTTGTCTCCTAATGAGGCTGCTACATTGGTTTGAACTCTTTCCACGGGTACTTTAAGGATCTGGGAAATGCCTACAGGGGAATGCAGTTAAATAGTGCTCCTTTGCTTCCCTCCTTTCAAGAGTCAAATTCTTCCTATTTTCTCCCTGCCTTTCTTTGGCTGCTCTCCACTGGCATAGCGGGTAGGGCGTTCGCCTTACACGCGGCCAACATGGCCGACCCGAGTTCGATTCCTCCGCCCCTCTCGGAGAGCCCGGCAAGCTACCGAGAGTATTCGATATGCCAGACACAGTAACAACAAAGTCTCCAA